GGTAATAAACTTTACACTAACAGAGAACAGCACAAGTTCACTTAGTGCCGGGAATGGATGTGGGGCCTAAAGGAAGAGGCAGGAAGCCAGCACAGAGACCCTAGAATAGCTTCACACGTGAAGCATCTATTGCAGGATTTACACCATTTCATGCTGGAAAAATTGAGTGCGGTTAGGTTGTAAACCTTAGTTATTGCCCATCCTAGGCCGTCATACCCTGCCAACTGGAATAAGGGAAATACAGGAAGAGTCAAAAAGAGGAGAAAAAGAGATAAAATACTGCAACTGGGGAGAGGTGGGAAGCCAAGCTGATGACCTAAGTTTTTTCCCAGAAATCCACATATTAAGATAGTCGTGCGTAATATCACTTAAGGGTTGAGTTCCATTTTTTTTTTTTTTTAAGAGATTGTTGCTATAGGATGTATATGCTTGCTGGAGAGACAGAGAGATAGAAAGCAAGAAATCATCTCCTGGGGGGATGGTCACTCTACAATCCCCTCTCCTCCATTCTCCTCTTGGGATCTTGGGCACGCATGCGCATGTGCTCAGTGTGAGTTTTAGGATGCTGGGTCTGGAATTCAAACCGCGGTTAACTATGTGAGAGTCCAGTGACGTAACCATTATGCCATCTGCTGGCCCCTCTTCTGCTTTCTTTAAAGTAGATATTATCTCTCTTTCTCTCTCCCTTTTTGGTTATTCATTCATTCATTCTGAGAGATTGAGAGAAAGAGAGGGAGATCCCCAACCGCGTCCTTGCTCTGCAATCCAGACAGCCAGGATCATGGGCCCAGTGAGTGGAGAGAGACCCCTAGGACCCTTCCAAGTGGCCTCTGCATTGCAGAGTGCTACTTCACTACTGTCCCACTGCAGCTGGCCTCACCTCAAAGCCCGCTCACTGGCTAGTGCTAGTGGATCTTATGTTTTCATTATTCATAGAGCAACACTACCCATGTTCGAGTCTGCCCTTTTTACAATTTCCTGCAGGAAACTAACTTGTCTATGCTCTTCTATCTTTAAAGGACACCCCTTCATTTGTGTTTTTTCAAAAGCTGGTAAATTTTTTTGTAAAGACATGGGCAGGCTTGGGGTAGTCTGGCATCAGTGGGCCACACACTGGCATGGCAGGGGATTCCTATAATATGTGCTGGAGAGGTTTTGTCATAAGGCATGCACCCTTGCCAAAGAGAGAGTCAGAGGGAAAGTGAGAAATCACCTTGGGGTGGGGGTGGGGGGTGGCCACACCGTAATTCCTTCTCTTCCATTCTCCTCTTGGGATTTTGGGTGCGCACGTGCGCGCGCACACACACACACACACACACACACACACACACACGCCTGGTGCTATTCTAAAGCTTCCAGGTCCAGGAAGCTTGCTGTGTCAGCCATGTTGGAGTCCAGTGCCTTAACCACCATGCCACCTGCTGACCCAGTACGTACCATCGTTATGCTTACAGTATAGAAGTATGCAGGAGATAATAAAGCTAAACTTTAATAGTAACTTTGCTTAGCCCTAAATACAAACTCTCCCTGTTAATAAAAATACTGTAACTGTCCGACAATCAATACTCTATTACTCAGACTTATTCTGTGTTAAGGAGATTTTTTTTTAAGTCTTTAAAACTGCCCAACAGCTTCATAATGTAGGACACCTGAGCCCACAGTGTGTGCCACTAACCTTCAGAGCCCCAACCAGGGCCCCAGTATAAACTTCGGGAGCAAAAGGATAGTCATTATTATCATCATCCTGACAGACAGAGACAGAGCTGGGTGTGAACTGGGAATGAGTCGAACCATCATTTTAACAGAACGGTGCCTCGTCTCTCCATCTAGACACTAACCCTGGGATTCCTGTTGCAGGCTGTGAAGGATGGAGAAAGCAAGAAAGAGGAGTAATTTAGACAGCCCCAATTTTATACTTAGAAAGAATCTTGGTGGTCAACCTTTAGTTCTCCCAGTCAGTTCATTGTTGGTCTCTAGAATGTCACTGGAGAAGTCAGTCCCTAAATATTTATGAGTGAAGAAACCCTCTTATTCACCACGTATTGGGTTCCTTTTAAATTAATTTTATTAGTATTTTTTAAATTTGCCAGAGGGTGCATGTGTTTGCCAGAGAGAGAAGGCAAGAAGGCCACCCCTGCCTCCCGCCCATGGGTTGCAATACCACAGCCATCCCTTCTCCTCTCTCTCTCCCTCCTTTCCAGAGTTTGAGCCTCTGGGTCTGGGACTCTAACAGAGCAGTCTGCCTTGTGGGATCTGGCTGCCTTAACCATCACACCATGGTCTGGCCCTTAATTAATGACAAGTTTTTATTTTTTTTGTAGAAGTTTTTGCCTTAGGCACATTCATTTGCCAGAGAGAGAGAGAAAAGCAGAGATAGTGAGAGGGGAAGTGAGGAGTCACTTCCCAGGGAGATGGCTATACTGCAATCCCTTCTCGTCTATTCTCCTCCTGGGATCTTGGGCACACATGCAAGGCCATCAGGTCTGAGTTTCAAGCCACTGGGTCTGGGACTCGAACCATGGTGGACCATGTGGGAGTCCAGTGATGTAACTGCCATACCATCTGCTGGCCCCATATTTTAAATTTAAAAAGTTTTCAGACCAGCTCTGTAGCCTTGTGTTAAGCAGCTAGATCCCACATGGCCTACCATGCTTGAGACCTGGACCTGGTAGCCTGAGAAACACTCTAGGTTCGTGTGCGTGCATGCATGTGTGCATGCTCAAACTTCTCAAAGAAGAAAGAGATGAAGGAGAAGGGATTGTGGTGACCATCCCTCATGGGTGTGCTTTCTCATTTCCCTCTCTCTGTTTTTCTCTGAGCACATGAACTCCCTAGCAGGAAAAACAAAACAAAGCAAAACAAAAAGTTTTCCTTCCAGGGCTGGCCCAGTGGCACAATGGTTAAGTGCCAAACAGCAGAGAAAGCTGGATCCCACATGGCCAACTGTGGTTCAAATCCTGGCCCAGCACTTGAAAAACACACAGGGTACATGTGCATGCATGCCCAGGATCCTGACAAGATAGAGAAATGAAGAAGAAAGGTTATGGCATGACCAAGCCCTCCTGTGGGGGAGGGGAATGGAGGGGCTCTATCTTTCTCGCTCTCGCTCTCTGACATGCACATGTGCTCCCTGGCATAAAAACAAAATCACTTCATATAGAAATCTCCCTCCCATAATGTCTGCCTCTGGCCCTTAATTCTGTGTTTGGCACTAGACAGACCAAAAGACTCAGACTCTCTTCTACAGAACACTCATTTGAGTCATTTGAATTTCCCCCATTGGTGAATATATGACAAAAGTTGGTTGAGTTTCATAATGCAAACCCAAAGGGAAAATGATCTTGCATAATTATATGATAATGTGTGGAAAGTTTAGGGGCTGTGTACACCATCTCATGGTTTTGAACTGTGTGGTTAAAGACATTGAGAGTTGACAGATTAGTCAGGGATTTGTCAAGAGTATTAATTATAAACTTAGAAATCTTGGTCAGTGAAAGTTCATCTCAGTGCATTTTGCAAATATGATCAAAGTCTTTTCAGTACTGATTTGATGCTGCTTAACCACAGTGAGTGAAGAACAAAGTTTTTCATTAGAAATTAGCGATGTAATAGAGTGCGATCTGGAGGAAGATGTATCGTTGGACGATTATAATTCATACTTTCCCCTCCCCTCCCTTACCATACCAAAACCCATTTTGGGGATCTCCCAGTTGTCTCTGAACACCTGAGGTGGTATTTTGGATGGCTCCATGGTCTAAACAGTTTCAGTGCAGCTCAGAGATGACCACCATTTGAGGACAGAGCTTATAAACCATAAAAATGAACTGTGAAAACCTGGGAGTTTACTGCTATCGGAGACTGAAAAATATTTATAACTGACAGAAACCCTGAAAAATGGAGGATAGGGTGTAGTTGATTACAGGGGAGGAAAGCAGTTCCTCTGCTCTTGTTTAGTTTTAGAAAAACTATTATTTTGGTAGCTTTCATTTTTCTGGGAAAAACAAAACAAAAACACTGGCACCTAAAGCACAGAAAATGAAATAAAAATACACCCAATGAGGCTTCTCCAAATCACTGGCCTGCCTCCCATTCCCTTTTTAAAAGCGTTCAATCACTGTATACCTTTACAGCATACAAAGTGAATTTCCCCAGCATGAGTACAATACATATTAGACCAGTCAGATACTACCTTACGCATTATGGTCAACAGATAATTTTCCATTTTTGTGTCCCTTAAATGTTTTGCTTCCCCCCCCCCCCTCCCCTGTCCCCCCTTGATTCCCTGCCTCTCATCCCTTCAACCCGCCTTCCAAGGGCTGTCAGAACAGCTCAGGGCGTCCTCCCGGTTCCTCGGTGTTCCAGTCTACTTTCCTCCGCAGCCAGGCGCAAGGTGTGCAAAGATCCAAAGCCTAGCCTTGGTCCCCGTCCCGCTGCGAAAGGAATTTCAGGAACCTTCGCCTACGGCCACCCCGGGATCCAAGGGCGCTAGTCAGAGGAGACTGGTCAGGTCTCTACCGGTTCACCTGTTCCCGGCTTCTTCCTGTTCAGTTGCCGCTCTGCGCCAGAGGGTGGCACCCCAGGCACTCGGAGGTGGAGAAGAGGGGAAGAGAAAGAGGAGGAGAGGGGCGGGGAGAGGAGGGGAGGAGAAAAGGAGGGGGAGAAAAGGAGGAGAGAGAAGGGGGCATTAACAAACTCTCAGACTTCGATCCCGAGTTCCCCGGCTAATCTGGCGGCAGAGCCACCCGCCCCTCCTCCACCCCCGCCCCCACACGGAAAAAGCCTGGACTTCCGCCTGACGAGGTGTCAGAGAATTAGATTTTAAAAAATGTTTTCGAGGTTATTCCTGACCAAAGACCCTCCTGGGTCTCAGGAACTCGAAGGGAAACCAGTTTCCTCGGCCGCCAGGCGCGCGGGAGCCTGGTGGGCGGAAAACCTCTGGCATTCGATTGCTACGAATGCGCCAAAACAACTGACCTGTCCCTTTGTGTTATGTTTTGCAGTTATTGGATTTATGCGACTCGGTGAAGGATGAGGCCCTGAGGGTGATCTCCGCCTTTAACATCCCACAAAGCAGCCTCCACGCACCAGTCGCCGGAGTCCCGAACCCGCGAGCTCCCTGGGCCTTCTACCCCGAGCCGCTGCAGCCGCTGGCCAGGGACTGGGCGCCCTCCCAGCGGTCGAAACTGGCAGCCAAGCTTTAACCCGCGTGGCGGGAAGCGTGTGGCCCGCCCGCAGCTGCCGCGACGCTCACTTCACCGACGCCAGGGCTGGAGCTGAGGCCCGGCTGGCACGCGCTGGGGCAGACGCCCTCAGGGATTTGGGCTGCAGAGCGGAGGCCCCGCTGCGCCTGGCGGGGCGCCGGAAAGGGAATCAGATGGCCACCCGGAGACTGCGGAGCTTTGTCCCCTCCCTGTAACCCCTGGCCTGTCTGGGATCTCATCCAGTTTCCGCGCCCGAT